TTCCAAAATGCCAGAGAAAAAAATTACTGAACTCCTAAAACAGCACGGATAATAGAAATCAAAAAGATGAGCTAACAATCTTTTCCCCATATTAACTATAATTTGGCTTACTCTCTGCTGCCCTTACAGAACACACAGAGGCAGAGCTCATTCCTCCGATCTGGGTAAGGCTCTGGGAGCCCCAGCCCCGATGTCAGACCACGAAACTCTATTTAGGTTAGTCCGGGCTTCCTAAGGCACACGGCAGGTGGTCTGGTCCCCGTGGTATGATGAAAATACCCACCACAGACTGTGATGTCCCCCCACCTACTTGGAAAAATATCGCGTTGCCATCAAGCCGCCAGAAGTTGGTTACGGGGTATCCGCTGTGCCCTCGACAGGGAATCAACTCCAACGCGGAATGACAGTTGGGACACGCCTTCTCTGCCAAGCCAGCGGGAGAGAAATATTAATAACAGCTCGGCCCCCCAGGTGCTTGTGAAGGAAGAAAGGGAACATTCCTTGGGAACCGGGAACTCGGGGCCACAAGGCCACCCCACGGGGTCCCCGCCTCACTCTGCTGCTTCAGGCGCGCCTTGTCGCAGATGGCGGGCCGCAGCTGCAGGCGGGAGCCATCGGGCAGGGCGCAGGCCCCAGCGCACACCACCACGCCCAGGCACGACTTCTTGAGGATGTGGCCGTTGTGGTTGTTAGTGTTGCGCATGGCCCAGCCGCTCAGGTGGCGCTGGGCCTTCTTCTCGTCGCTGCGGTAGATGAAGCGCACGTAGCCGTCCGGCCACTCGCAGAAGCGGTCGAAGTGCGCCGGCTCCTGGAAGGACCGGGTGAGCGGATGAAGCCCAAGCCGGACACCTTGTGCTTTTCATTTTTCCCCAAGCACATTAGAATAAAAACTGGTTCTTTTTAATTCCAGAAGTGTCCTAAAACCCACAAACTGTGCCATCGCAAAGTGTCACCCGTCCTGTCTGTGCCTGCGGTTCTGACCACTGGCTAGTCATGGATGTTTATAACATTCTTATCTTCTAAATGCTGTCTGTGTACTAGCTCCTCTAGCCTCCATAACTCACCCAGACAATAGGAACTACTATAATGGGTAGTTAATCCGACAGAACACAGAGGTCAGAGAGGTTAACTGATTGTCCAAGGTACAGAGCTGGTAAGACCTGGTTCTAGGAATTGAGTCCTACCAGTTTGACTCCTGGGCCTGTTCTTACCATCATGGGAGACCACTTCTGGGTACGTTTCAGTGTTAAATTGGAAGTGAAAGTGTTTTCAAATGAAGCGTCAAAGCGCCAGGCTAAAAGGTGATTATAACGCCCTATCACTGAAATGCGATTCAGTCTGTAAATATCTCCGCTTTGGTCCAGTGCTTTTCCTTCTAAATCTCTTGCCTCTACCCCAAACCTGTTGGTTGCATCAGCAGTGATACCCAGAGCTACATGACAGAGATAAACACAGCTTCCCTTGCTCCTCCCAACTTAGCTCTCCCAGGTTATAGGAGCACCGCGATGAAGGACTTAGCCATCAAGGTCAACCCAAGCACGGGGTGGAACCGGCAGAGCCCTGGACCTCATCTGAGAGCAATGTGGATTTTTGCTCTTCTCAACAAAGAGCCGCATGGCTGAAATAGTAAGTTTTATCTAAAATGCACAGCACTGCTTCAACATCCATCATTGGTGGTCTTGCCCATGGTATGCGTTATCTATACCGCAATGTCTCTCTTGTATAGAACTTTAATATAAAATTGCCCTTTATGAAACACTTAATATTTAGCCAGTACTCTCTAGCTCAGGGGTCAGCGCCCAATCCAGCCTGTCTTAGTACGATCCACAAGCTAAGAATGACTTTTAGGTTTTTTAATGCTTGGGGGAAAATCCAAAGAATTTGATTTCATGACACATGGAAATTAATCTAAAATTCAAATTTCAAGACCCATAAACACAGTTGTATTGGGAAATGGGCGTGCACATCTGTCTGCATATTGGCTAGGGCTGTTTTCCATCTATGACAGAATTGGGCTTTTGGCGCCGACAGTATGGCCTGCAAAGCCACATTATGGAGTATCTATGATCCGCACGACAACCTTCCATGATGGGCATCCATACTCTTATTTCATAGATAAGGAAGTGGAAGTTAGAGACAGAACTTTCTAGAGTGTCATAACTGGGATTCAGACAGATCTGTGACAGCCAGGTGCCACTGGCTTTCCTGATAGGATAAAGGCTCAGAAGAGTATTATCACTACTTAATAAGCTGTTTGCAACTTCTCTCTCTCCCACCACCCCACGGGCATTCAATCAAACGTTGGCAAAGCAAAATTATTCTCAGTTGGACAATTCAGACTTGAATACCTCATTAGTATTATGCATTCTAACAAAAATAGGTAAATGGGTAATTTTGTTTCCCAAACCACAGGGATATGGTTGAAATCACTATTATTACCAAGAGGCGTCATTTACCTTTTCTCAGAAATACTGTAATTGCCATCAATTAATACAACGACTTAAGGAAAGTCACAAATGAAATATTTAATGATGTACTATTAACTCTAAGTGTAGACTAAATGCTAACTGTTTATAAAGTGAGCATTTCAATCCAAGGATCTTGGTAAAATAGATAATTTCTCAGAAGAGAATATTTCATTAGTGTCCCCCTGTAAGGGTAGAGAATCACCATCCCCCATGTCTCATAACAGCTACTAAGGCAGCGACACTGAAATTGAAGCCACTGAGACCATATTTTTAAGTCAAAGCAAAAAATGGAGGACTCAAGGATTGGGTTGTTTTTGTTCTAAAGTGTCGGCACATGCCGACAAAAGTGCACACCCTGAACATGACAGAAAATCTGGCCGATAGCTTGAGATTGTTATCTAGTTCCACCACTAGATGACAGGTCTTCTTAGCCTGAAACGAAGGCATATTCGGGAACTATCTCAAGGTCATATAACCAGTTTAGCTCTTTCTCCTTCAGTCAGCCGGAGCGAGGCTAGGATCCTGTTTCTCCACTTCTATTTCCCAGTGCATCTGCCCTTTTGAGATATTACACACATTCCCTGCTTAAGAACCAGTCTTATGAAGGAAAAGTAATTCACATTTGCTTGGGAAGTCTAGAAAAACGCACAAAAGAGGAGCCATCTTTCCGTTATTTGGAAGTGGCTCTTTCCTAAAATGCAAGATTAGACTATTATGAAGATTTTCTGGAGGGAAGTCAGTGCGAATGAGGTGTCCTTGCTGTGCTATGGTCTCCCTTCCCACAAATGGATGATGGAAGTAGCAGACTTTAAAACAAATAGAACAGATTACTAAACATATGTACATAAAAAAAAAAAATTGCTGATCTCTTTGAGAGGCTACATGACCTTGCTAATGACTTGCTATTTTCTGATTAATATATATGGCATGTGGTAGTCTCTTTCCCAGTTCCAAACATTGCTGGAAGCTCACCTTTGCAAATGTGTGGGAAGCCAATTCTCTCCCCTTCTACCTACACCCAGGACTTCAAAATCACTCCTCAGTTTCTGCCCTAAAACAGTATGACTGAGCATAACTGTCCAGCTCATTCCCTGGACTCGGCTCTACCCTACTTTGTTCCATTAAAACAAAACAAAAATAAAATTACCCTAAAAGGAGGTGATCTCCTTGTCATTAGAGAAGTAAGATCAGAAGTTAGGGCCAAAATCCAGATTCCAGAGGCTCTCTTGTCGCCTGTGGTCTGGTTAGCATGCCATCCAGGGCAGCCACCGGCGTCTGCATCAGTCACCTCAGTCCCGCTATTTAAGATTCGGGCCACGGTGATTTATAGTCGTCTTACAGTTTTGCTGCATAAGAAGCAATGATGTCTACATTCGCTGTACCCTTCTCATAGATTTCAAAGAATGCATGAGAGAATCACCTGGTTTCTAGCTTGGATAAAGGAAAGCAAGGGACAGGTGTCCTGTTCTCACCAGATGACTGAGAACTTGAAGCCTAATTGACAGTTCTCTGGACAATTGGTGTGTTTCAGACAAGGGCAAGGAGAAGACACATCACTAATCCCAACTCTGCGGCTTGTGGCGTCTGTCTAACAAATGAGGACTCTCAGGGAGGTGTCGTTTGGAGAGGAGATCTCTCCTCAGTTTCCGCAAGAACTTGAACGCCACCAGCCCTTTTTTGGATGGACAGAGCCACGTGCGCGCGCGCACTGGGTTTCACGTACCTGAGGCATCTGCGGATCGTTGATGTCCCAACTGAGCTTCATCCCGTGGGGGCACACGCAGTCCGCCTTCTGCCCCACTTCCGCCAGCATCTGCCCGCACCTTGCCTGAGCTCCCCGCCAACGATCCTGAAAGAAGAAAAAAACCTGGATGGGCAAGGTGATGTTTTCCGTCTTATTGGATGGAGATGGAGAGATAAAGACACACAGAGAGACAGAGAGAGAATTTATTTAGAAATCCAGAAGTGGTGGAGGAGGGTTATGAGCTCTGTTCTCAGCCACCGCGCTGGAAACCGCGGCGTCGGCTCCTGCCAGCTGCCCGCACGTTTATAATGACACACCCCTCCAGGCTCCGCCTTTCCCCGCTCCTCGCCAGCTCCCACCCTCCCCGCACCCGCGAGGAGGGTCGCCCCCGCCCGGACAGAGACCTTAGGAACGGAGGGGGAGGTTGACCTGAGCCCTCGGGAAACTGACCAAGATGTCCGGGGGCGAGGATGAGGGTGGGGAGTTGAAATGTCGCATTTAAGTAGAAAAAAAAATTTTTTCCCCTAATCTCTCCTCGCCTCTGGGGTTTCGGGTTGTGTTTCGATGGCAGGTTTTTGCGACAGAGGCTTTCCAGCAAAGTCCCCTGAGAGCCGATAAAATTCCTAGGCACTGATTGTAAGACCCTGGCCGTTGCGCGCCCAAGTCTGGGTAACTGCGCCCGCGCCCACTGGCTTTGGACTTCGGCTCTCCGGATTTGTCATAGATGTTGTGAGTGTCGGGGAGTCTGTGCTTTTCTCCTGGGGGCTGGTGGACTGGCGTCCGAAGGAATGCCAAACGTCCCCGGGTCTAGGTGCACCTGTTCTCCGGAGGGGCTACCCAAGGGAATTGGCCCAGTGAGACAACAGTCCCTGAAAGTGAACCTGGAGAAGGAGAGGTGAGATGAACTACGGGTATCCGGACGGGGAGGGGTGGAGTGGGGGTGGGGGTCTCTTCGGGCCCAGCGCTCATAAGCAGGACATTCAGCGCGCGCGCTCTCTCCCCCTCCCCGCCCCCAACCCCTAGTCTCAGTTCTCTCTGGGCATCAGTTTCCTTATCTGCTTAAACAGGGGATTGGGACTCAGTGATTTCTCAGCAGCCATCCACTGGAAACGTTTTAAAGATCGTCTTTATTGGTGTGTTGTCGTGAAAATACCCCCATTCCATCTGCCGAGGTTTTCTGGAGCTTGGAGGAGCCAGCCACGTGAGGGGGCGCAGGACGCCATGGATCCCCCGGAACCGACTCATTAGGGTTTTTGCGGTACCTAGAGGCGTCCAATAAAAGAAATCGTTTGACATGACTTAAATCTCTCTGTAGCCACTCTGAGCGGCGAGGGAAGTGTTTTCCCGGAATTTGTTCTCGTGTCTTTGCTCTGCAGGCAGCACGCTTCTGTTCCCAGCCGTACCCAGAAAAGAGCGGCTCCTGAAGGCCAGTCACTGTTAGAGGGGGATGCTGGGACCTATATCCCTCCAAACCCCGAAGCCCGGCGCGCGCTGGACCTGGGAGTCGCCCAGCACCCTCCGGGCGCGCGGACCGCTGCTGCGTGGGACCGGCCAGGAGCGCTCCCCCGCCAGCACCTCCTGCCAGACCAGTCTCTTTGTTTGGCCAAAGGCGGAAAGAGCAGGTGCCCCTTAAACCCACAACCAGCGCTATTGGATTGTCCGCGCTCGCGGTCCTCTCACCTCCCCGGCCAAGGGCACAGTCAGGTTTGTTAGGAAAGTCGGTCCAATACTGAGATGCTTTTCAGAGCTACCAGCTATGGGCAGCGGAGAACTCAGGTGACAGAAAATGCCATATTTGGGCAGTTTCACGAATTTTCTTCTTTTTCTAGTTTCAAGCTGGATGTTCCTCCCAACCAGAGGCGAAAGTCTACGCGAAAAAAAGGACTTGGTCATCCCCCCAGCCTCTCCTCCCCCAAGTTCCTTTTTTTGAAAGATTGTGTAGGTCAGGGTTTCCGATTAAAATCACTCTCCCGTAGTCGCCAGTCGCCACGAGGATCGAGGATCGGGGAGGAAGCGAAGAGCGTGTCCTCTCTCACCCCAGGAGTTTTGTTAGCAGATTTTCATCATATTAACCGAGTGCCGAAGGTCTGGCCACTCGTGTCCTTCAATTGTTTTTTTATTCTGTTTGTCTTCCAAATGTTAAAACTATTCACACCTTTCTTTGACAAATACATATTCCATTAATTGTGATAGGTTAAAATAATATATACTCTAAAATGCTTTAACATAACTTCAACAATATTTAAAATCACCTCTGAGACTGCATAGATGTTAATTTTAATTTTGGGTCTTATTGTAAAAATTATTAGAATCTTTCTTGTCTCTATAATCTTGGAATGTTCCTAGAGAGTCTTTACCTTAAAAAATCTAAATACAGGGGTGCCTGGGTGGCTCAGTGGGTTAAAGCCTCTGCCTTCTGCTCAGGTCAAGATCCCGGGGTCCTGGGATTGAGTCCCACATCGGGCTATCTACTTAGCCGGGAGTCTGCTTCCCCCCTCTCTCTCTGCCTGCCTTTCTGCCTGCTTGTGATCTCTGTCTGTCAAATAAATAAATAAAATCTTTTAAAAAATATAAACACATAACAATTTTTAACATTAAACCCAAATAAATTAATTATATACATTTTTTTCTAAATGGATTCTAGTCTCTAAAGAAATGTCATTGAGTCTCTTCCATTATTAGTTTCAGAAGAATTAAAATCTTAATTCCAAATTGCTCTAAAATTATGTCTCAGTAAAACATGTTAGTAAAATAAGCTCATGGGGGGGGGCTGCCTGGGTGGCTTCGTTCATTGAGCATCTGATTCAGTCTCAGCTCAGGTCTAGATCTCAGGGTCATGAGTTCAAGCCACAGGTTGGGTGTGGAGCCTCCCTAAAAAAATTAAAAAGCTAATTGAAGTGAAAATTTTAAAATAAAAATAAAAAATAGTTCAAACTTTCTCCAGAAAGTTTGAATGCATTAGCAACCCTATAGTTTTGAAGGATATGTTTTCTCCCCCAAATTCTGTAAATAATTGATTATCAAGTTTTTGCCTATTATTACACAAACTGTAATTTTATTATATTTTATTGTATTCTCATTATATTATTTTATTCTGTAAAGTCAAATGCACTTAAACTGTATTTTGATTGTTGTTTGTTACTAGCCTTCCATTATTTTTTTTCCTGTGCTAGTATTTTCTTTGATTCAGAACAACTTTATATTCATAGCTGGCTCTTCCTTCATTATTATTTTGATACAGTAAAAGCTCATTAATTAAAAAGCAAAGGCAGAAGCCTTTGCATTTGCAAGGCTTGGATGAAAATCAGGAAATTAATGTAAGTATATTTACATGGTATTGGCTAGGAAACAGACATCATGATCTTTGAAATAAGTACCATTTTGAACGGAAGTCAGGTGTGTGTGCTGACCTGGGCTGACTAGCAGAGATTCTCGTTCTATTAGGTCTTAATTTGATGCAAACAGGTATGTTCTGTAAATGTCTTGACATGAAATACCCATAGTTTGTAATCATAACATAAATTGATTTTTACACAAGGAAAGTTTAGATCTTAGTGATGTTTAAAAAAAAAGATTTCATTTATTTATTTGACGAGAGAGATCACAAGTAGGCAGAGAGGCAGGCAGAGAGAGAAAGGGGGGAAAGCAGGCTCCCTGCTGAGCAGAGAGCCCCGATATGGGGCTTGATCCCAGGACCCTGGGATCTTGACCTGAGCTGCAGGCAGAAGCTCAACCCACTGAGCCACCCAGGTGCCCCATATTTGTTTGCTTTAAAAAACAAACAAAACAAAACAAAACAAAAAAAACACCACAAAAAAAAAAAAAAAAACCCGCAGTCCAATTTATTTTGCCACCGTGTCCACATAAACAGGCTACTTAACGGCGAAAACCTGGTCATTAGCACACACTCCAGCTGGGTTAAAGGAAGTAGGTTGGAAAAGCGAGTGGATGAAATTATTTGTTTGCTCCCCCCTCCCCCCGTTTTGTTTGGTTTTGGTTTTGACTGAGAAGACCATGTTATTGGGGGGGGGGGCTTCTTTTGTGAGGTCAGGAATATTCTCACAATTTCAGGTGCAAATCTGCTTCCTATTGTGGAAACTCCAGTTTTTATCTCTATCAGTATCCAGAGACCGAAGACAGCTCAGCCAGCAGTTGAAGGCGGAGAGAAAACTGCGGCTCCCACAGAGGGAGTATCTGTCAGTTTAGAGCTCCACAAAGAAACAGTGTTTCCGCGACGGTATTCACAGCCTCGGAGGAACCGCTTCCAGGTGTGCGTGCGCGCGCCCAGGTGGCCCCACCAGGACTGCTAATCACTCGCGAGGGTATCTTGCGTCTCATATAGGGGCGGAGCACATTTCAGGTGCTGGGTAATTGGTTAGCGTCCCGGCGAGGACTGGAGCTCAAAAGCCGCGAGGCTCCCCGGGCCCTCGCCGTGGTGGAGCCCAGCTCGCCCGGGTTTCGGGCCGCAGAACCGCACGAGGCTGAACGCGGCGCACGAGGGAGGCGCGCTCTGGGCCGGGAGCCTCGGGATGCAGGCGGTGAGTGGGGCTGGGAGGGCTGGGGTTTAGTCCGAGCCCTTTCTCTGCGGTTCGGGGGGGGGGGGGCGCACGGATGTGTGGTCCGTCGGGTTCTGGGTGCAGAGGCTGGCGTGTTCCCCCGGACCCGGCACCTGCTACCGTGCCCTGACGCGGAAGAGCTGGGGGGTGGGGGCTGCGGGCCCTTGAGCCCTTCCACCTCCTTAGGTTTGCTTAGAGTTTATCCGGAGCTTTCAGCGAGGGAACCAGCCAGGATAGAAACCTCTGGTCCCTTGCCCATGGAAAAGGAAACTGGAGAATTAATGTTTAGAAGGCCATGAAATCGTTCTTCTCAATTTGCGGCGGGCGTTTTCCCAGCCCCTGCTGCTGCGTAGACCGTGCGGTGACATTAACCCATCTGGGCTCAGACCTGCGGTCCCAAGTGTAGGGACCAAACGGGGACTCGGGCTACCCGCGCTGTAGATAAAGGTCCCTAAAAGGCCCGCGGCCCCACCAGTGGTCCCACTTCTCAACATTCGTTTAACTGGAGTCACTGCTGGTGAAAAAAATAGTTAAGTCTGCATTTGGGTCTTTGAAGTCACCCAACTTTTCATATTTGTAAATAATAATATTGTAACATGTGCTGACATTCAAGGATCTTTTCAAGTCCATATAGAAGTACTGTGAGCCCAAGCTAGATAAAAAAACAACAACAACAAAAACAAAAAGCATATCTTTAGGAGATATTTGAAGTCTATTTTTTTGTGTATTGTACTTTTAAATAATTGTTGGGGTGAAGTGAGATGAGATGCTGTTACTTAATGTAGCATAATGTGTTGTGAAAACCAAGGTGCGGACCCAGGGATTACTCTTGAGGAAAAGGTGTAACAATCCATTACTAAATGCCTTGTGAATTCTCTTGTAGCTGTTGTTACTATTTGATCCTGGAAGTTGCAGTAAAAGTCCCGGAGGAGTGTTTAAAATTCACTGAAGTCAGAAAGCAACCTAGAGCTCCATCTCACGACTGGGCTTGAAACACACTCTCCAAAACTTCATTTTATAAGCTCTCATTCTAAAAATGGTTCATTTAACCCAAAGCCTCCTATTTTATAGCTGTCACTACAGACTTTGTCTGTTTTGTGTGACGGTGATGACAACCGTGTTTGCTTTGCTACTTGTGGTAGTCTGTAGTTGTCCTAGTACTGAAGAAAGTTAAATTATTTCTAAGTACTATGTTACTTAGACCTGTAATCAGTGGTATGAGTCAACAAAGTTCTTGTTCAGGATGACCCTATGATGCTTCATTAATTTTTAAAACTTGAGATTCATTTTTTGGAGGCATTTTTAAAAACAATCGTTTCGTACACAGGTAGAGGAAGGTCCTTTGCAGTCTGTGAAGGAAGACACTGGGAGTGGACTTGCCCCCGACGCTTTCTATGTAAAGATCAAGTTTATTTTTTGCTGGGTGGGGAGGGAGAGAGCGGGTGTGTGCGTGCCCTCTTCCTAGTTCTGTGTTTGCTGGCTATCAGCACAAAAGTTCTCAGTTGCTCAAGCCAGAGGCAGAGAAATCTTTGTTCCTCCCTCTTCCCTAGTCTCATATTCAGTTAATTACCATGCCTTCGACTACCCTACCAATATCTTAGTCTGAACTATCTCGGGCCAGGTAGTATTCTAGGTAAACCGTGTTGAACAAAACATACAATTCCTCCCCACATGGAGCTTACAGCTTGGTGGAGAGCCAAAGAAATAGGTTACTGACCAAAGGGAAGGTGTAGGAAGGAAAGAAAGAGGAGATCATCATGGAGAGTGGAGAGCAGAGGCACTTGCCTTACTTGAGTTAGTCCTGGAAGACCTAAAAAGGTGATAATGAAGCTAAGATCAGAGGGTGATAAGGAGCCAGCCAGGTAGAAAGTGGCCGGAAGAAGCAGTGTAGGCATAGAACAGTCAGCGCAAAGGCCCTGAGGGAAGGCAGAATTTGAGTTTAAAAAAAAAAATTTAATGTAATTTAACTTTGTTAATTTTGTTTTTGACTTATTAGTAGGGAAGTCAGGCAAAAGTTGTTGACAGTTCAAATCCTGCAGAGCCTTGAAGACCAAAGCAAAGTATTTGGAATTATTCTGAGTGCAGGGAAGCCAAGTGGAGTCTCTAGCAGGCAGAGGCTTGAGCTTCTGAGAGTCTGAGTGTAAATCTCAGCTGGGCCATCTCATGAAAGTTCTTAACCTTTCCCAGCCTTTCAATCTCCCCAGATAAAGAATCTGTCCTTTCAGGGTGGTGTAAGGATTACGTGAGAACATCTGTGGAACACTCTGGGCACAAAAGTTTCACTTAAAAATATTCTGTTCACGGGGTGCCTGGGTGGCTCAGTGGGTTAAGCCGCTGCCTTCGGCTCAGGTCATGATCCCAGGTCCTGGGTTCGAGCCCCAAATCGGGCTTTCTGCTCAGCGGGGAGCCTGCTTCCTCCTCTCTCTCTGCATGCCTCTCTGCCTACTTGTGATTTCTCTCTGTCAAATAAATTTAAAAAAAAATATTCTGTTCACATGTTTAATTTCAAATGGTATCTTTCCTTTTAAATCAGTACTAAGAATATGCAGAATTTGGAGCTGTATATAGTAAAATACCTCCTTACTAAAATAATATTGTAGGGGAGCCTGGGTGGGTTGGTGGGTTAAGCCTCTGCCTTTGGATCAGGTCATGATCTCAGGGTCCTGGGATCCAGCCCCACATTGCATCGGGCTCTCTGCTCAGCAGGGAACCTGCTTCTCCCCCTCTTTCTCTCTCTCTGCCTGCCACTCTGCCTACTTGTGATCTCTCTCTCTCTCTCTCTCTGTCAAATAAAATCTTAAAAAAATTGTATATTGGTAATTTAACCTGTGAGAATGAAATTTTATAAAAATGGAAAAAATCCTATCTTTAGAGTACAGATACTTAAGGGTCTGTTCAAATGCATGTATTTAGAAGTAGGTCTTGGCTGATGTTCAGGTGGAAAAAATTTCACTCATTATGACAATTCACATACTTAGTCAACAACCTGTGATTGTGAAATTCATTTTCTTCAAATTCTGTCATTTGTGTCACTCATAATTTGCGTTTTTAGTGTCTTAGAATTTCTAACCTTAATAAGGATAAAGTCTCTTCTCCCATAGATATCTGGACTTTTAGTTCACTCTAAGTCAGTGGCTCTCCAACTTAGCATGCAATTTGGCGAAGCCCTCCCCGACCTCTTCCGATGTTTCTAATTCCTAACCAGTCCCCAGGTGATGACCATGCTGCTGGTGGTCCACAAACCAGGTTTTGAGCTTGTTGGCTTAAGAGAGCTTGCAATCATTGGCTAAATGATTTACTGTTCAAGGTAGAACTACATTTATCCTCTATTAATTCCACACTGAATTATTGATAGAAATAGGACTATGAAACAAATATTCTTGGGGGGGAAATAATTTGCAAACTATTCAACTTTCCAGCTTCAATCACTTATTATGGATGCTTTCCATGATAAAGGATTTGAGAAAATAAAAGAGTATTTTCAACAGAGAGAAAGCCGCGTTCCTCAAAAATACAATCATCTTGTATTCTATTATCTTGACAGATCCATAAATAAGGCAAGTAAAGTTGATTGTGTGGGGGGGGGAGGGGAGGGAGAATACCAATGTGTGATTATTCTAAATGCTTCCCCACCCCACAAGTTTTATTGGGGGTATAATTGACCCTTAGCGCTGTAACTTCAAGGGGTATGATATAGTGCTTTGACTGACATGTATTGGGAAATGATGACCACAACAAGTTTATTTAACATCCGTCATCTCATAGATACAAAATAGAAAATTTCCTTGTGATGAAGGGCACCTGGCTGGCTGAGGCAGAAAAGCAAGGGGTCATGAGTTTGAGCCCCATGTTGGGAATAGAGATTACTTAAAACCTGCAAGAAAAAAAATTTCCTTGTGCTGAGAACTTTTAGGATCCACTCCCTTCATTTTCATTGTAAGGTTCTAACTTTGTGTGGTCTAATACCCAGCAACTGGAGAAAAATGAATTTCGGCATGTTTCGCTGTTGCTGAAATGTCTTCAACGATTCTTCATTGACGGCCTCAAAGAAGAGGAGCCTTTGCTGATTGAGCAGGGACTAATCCCAAAGATAAGGGTCTTGTTTTAATTTTGTATGGCGTTGGGTCATTTAAAGAACTGGAATGAAACCAGTTATCTAGTTTGGTAGTTTGTTCCTTTGCAATTGAACTTGAAAAATTGGTAGGGATGCCTACCGCCTTTATCAGCAAACATGAAGTTCAGGATAGGTTGTTTGGTATATGTGCTGAGTGCTCTGGGAGTCTGCAGGGATGAGCCCAACCTTCCCTCTTCTCCCCTTGACCAGCCAATGTTGTAGTCGCAGGTTTTAATTATTTTAGTGAATTTCACTTGAATATAGCCTGAGTCGGGAGTAACTATTACATGCTCCCCCACTCAAAGGCTCGAAAAGCTATTTTAATAGATATGAGTAACAAGACTGATTTTGGATAAATGATCAAAGACTTCCCCTTGTTACAGCCTATTTTTTCAACCCTGAAACTCAGTTGAATCTGAGAAAACAAGGAGCAAAAATACTTATACTTATTAGAATGCTTATTCTATCTCCACTTCATGGGGGGGGGGTTAAGGGGGTAGGAGAATAAATGAAACAAGATGGGATCGGGAGGGAGACAAACCATAAGTGACTCTTAATCTCACCAAACAAACTGAGGGTTGCTGGGGGGAAGGTAGTGAGAGGATGGTTGGGTTACGGATATTGGTGAGGGTATGTGCTATGGTGAGTGCTGTGAAGTGTGTAAACCTGGCGATTCACAGACCTGTACCCCTGGGGATAAAAATACATTATATGTTAAAAAATGCTTCTTCTAATTCAGGCAGTTGTGACTGTTTATTCTGTGTTTTAGGGATTAACGAGAGGGTACTATTATGCTTTGACAATGGCATCTGGAAGCAAAGCAGAGTTCATCAAATCTCTTGTTATATCCCTCTTTTCATGAGCAGACTTTGCAGCCCTTTTAGATGTTGATTTGTTGGTGAGGAGATGGGGGAAGATAGAGGGGCAGGAGCCTGATCTGGCTGGTTCCAAAATCCCCCCCCCCCAACCAATCTCTGGTCTCTAGTATCTGACTTTTAGTAAGACCAAGTTGGCACGCTCGCTTCAGCAGCACATATACTAAAATTGGAACAATATGAGATTAGCAAGGCCCCTGCTCAAGGAAGCAGAGAAAGTCCGTTATCTTACGGTTTCACATACTTGTGGAACATAATATAACGTGGAGGACATTAGGAGAAGGAAAGGAAAAGAGAATTGGGGGAGGTTGGAGGGGGAGAGGAACCATGAGAGTCTGTGGACTCTGAGAAATAAGGTTTTGGGGGGCATGAGGGAGGCTGGTGGTGGGTATTAAGGAGGGCATGTATTGCCTGGAGCACTGGGTGTTAGACATAGACAACGAATCTTGGAACACTGCATCAAAAACTAATGTATTTTATGGTGACATAACAATAAAATGAAAAGTTAGTCATAGATGAGCATATGGAATATGATTTATTCATATGAAATTCAAGGCTAAACTAACCTGTGGTTCTAGAAGACAAAATAGTGGCTAACACTGGTGGTGATAGTGATTAGAGAGCGGCCCTGGGAAAGTTTATGGAGTGGAAATGTTCTATATCTTGATATGATGTGCGATTACATACTGTATATTACCATACATAATTAAAAAAATATTATCTGTTTAAAAAAAAAGACCAGGTTGGCTCAGGGAGATCTCCCTGTGCTCCACCACCTCCTTTTTTTTTTTTTTTCAAACTTTAAAATGACTCTAACTATGTGTCACCTCACCTCTGGGGGTTGAGGGAAGAGCAAATAAACACCAGGCTTTCCCTAACTCCTCTCAGGGATTTTAAAACTGTTAGGAGGGCGGCGGAGAGGGATGAATCTAAGGATTTTGCTTAGGTAAACTATATATTTCATTTTGCACATACTGCCTCCTAACTCCCTCATATAGTTACACAGATGACAGGAGATGGGGAAGAGGAGGTAAAACCATTTCAAAGGAAAGGGAACAGGATACACACACACACCCTCCTCCGTGACTTGGAACCCTAAGCTGATTGTTTTTTTGTTTTGTTTTGTTCTGGGGCAGGGGAAGATGAGTTGGGATCTGTCCCAACCTGAATTTTCTGTTTAGATTTTAAAAATACTCCTCCAAGGGGTGCCTGGGTGGCTCGGTGGGTTGAACCTCTGCCTTCAGGGTCAGGTCATGATCCCAGAGTCCTGGGATTGAGCCCGCATTGCATTGGGCTCTGTGCTCCACAGGGAGCCTGCTCCCCCACCCCCTACTTGTGATCTCTGTCAAATAAATAAAATCTTAAAAAAAAAAAAAAAACCTCCAATATTTAAAGGGTCAGATCAAATTTCCACTGGAGTTTTGAAATCAAATGGAAATTTCCATATTCTGTTGGAATTCTGCTTGGTGATGGAAATTTGAGAACCAGAACTTAGGCACATTCTAAAGCATGTTCTGTTTCATGTAAGTTTTGGCCAAAGAAAAATAGATTGATACTATCAAAGTGGATGGGATACTAGATTCTATACTTTTTTTTTTCTATTTATTTGACAGAGATCACAAGTAGGCAGAGAGAGGAGGAGAAGTAGACTCCCCGCTGAGCAGAAAGCCCGATTCTGGGCTCGATCCCAGAACCCTGAGATCATGACCTGAGCCGAAGGCAGAGGCTTAACCCACTGAGCCACCCAGGCGCCCTTAGATTCTATACTTCTAAAGTTGATTAGTTTTGCAGGTCAACTCAAAAGGTACTGGGAAATTATTCTCCCCAGAGTAAGAATTTCCTATGGAAAGGAACCTATTTAGTCCTGTACCCTAGGATCCTGGAGAATTAAGCAACTTGTCTTCTACCATATGTATAAGTAGTACCTAGTACATCTGTAAATGACTATTTTGTCTGGTTTCTGGTAACCCCACAGCTGTGGGGACATGTTTGATCATGGCACAGAAGTAGGTCCAGAGAGTGATTTTCTAATCCCAAGTCTTGATCAGATAATGTGGCACTGCCCTCACTTCTCTGAATCTCTGCTCAACATATTCTCATGTGCTGAGAGAGGAATAGGATTTAGGGTGGTAAATGGAATCATGACAAATATACTTAAAAGCACAACATTCAGAGTAGGACTATAGGAAGGGGGAAATACCGCCTTAGCAGTGAGTTCCGTTGTATAGAAGGCTTTTTTCTCCCCTTAAGCTGTTGGAGAAAAGTTTGCTTCAGAAGGTGGATGGTTCAATCTAGTTCAAATCTTTGCCTGGTTTGAGATCAAAAAAACATCCCTTAGAACTCAGTAGTGGCCCTCCCCGCTCACTGTGCATTAGAAGCCCCTGGAGAGCTTTTAAAAGCCCTCTCTGGTTCCCACCACCGGAGAGAGTGATGTACTGGGTCTGTGATGGGTCTCTGGCATCAGGGGTTTCAAAGCTCTCTGGGTTTTCCTAATGTACAGTCAAGGTTGTGAATGGATTGGTTTGTCTATGGTCCCCAGCTGGGTTCTTGGCTCCAAAGTGGACCAAGTTTCCAAGGCTCACTCCTCTAAGCATTTTTCATTACAAACTCCTCTTACTACATGTTCAATTGAAAATGTCAAACTATGCACACATGATTATTTTTATAAGCCAAAATGGTCTAAAGGTGGCCCTCCCTTTTTTTGAATAAAGATTGTAGGAGGGTTTATATGAGTTTACTTTAAATCCTACCAATCCTAGCAACTTAATAGGAATGTGGATATATGTTCCTACAGGAAAACAAATCTCCAATTAGCTGGAAGCTTTTGGCAGAAGATTGGCCTGAAGCATATATACTGTACTAAATTACTTCTGGAGCACTTTGTAAATTCTGCATATTCTTTGAATAGTCTTTCTCCAACCTCCCAGATGACAAGAATTGCTGCTGTGTTGGGGAGGCTCATTTATCTCTTAATCTTTAATCACCAGACCCTATATAGGACTTCTTGGCATCAATCCTGGCCAACCCTTGCTGGTATCTGACAATTAGTACAACTCTCTAGTGGTAGGACTTGATTCTGGAGAGTTCTAGATGGAGGCCTTAGTGGTCTAACTGAAATGTTCTAGAAACCTGTCTCTAAAACTATTTTGGTCTGGTAAAAGATTTATGAAACTTTATTGAATAGACAGTAGTTACACGGCCACAGAAAGTTCCATCATTGTTTCTTCTCTTGTGTACATGGTTTCCTGGTTTGAAAAAACAACCGCACTTCTGACCACGGCAGAGTCAGCGTCCGACACATCCCTCACTGATGTTATAGAAGACTTCTTTGACACAGCCTTGGTAAGGAAGCAAGGACAGATGCCATTGGTAATTGGCAGGAATCTTCAAGTTACTTATAAAACTTGTTTTCTAAGATGTGGGTTTTGCCAATACTCTCATATTTTATTAAAATACATGAAATAGAAACCATATATAACCAATGCTATAGAAAATGATTTCTTTTCATGCATACATTATTGACCTATTTAAGGGAGAGAAGCTGATTTTTAATAGTGACTGAAGGTCAGGTAGGATTTCTTTTTCCTACTAATGAAAGTCTGCTCCTGTCTATTAGAGAAATATCAGGTCTAATGAATTAATATTATAGTTGATAATGGTTTATAAAATAATACAAGCTTTACTTTTTCTTTCTAGATTATTTCCAGGAGTAGTAGTAAAGGTAAGTATATTTATAACTAAATTGACTATTAGAATATTCTGGTATAAATATTCATCTAAATAACCTATAAAAGTAAAACATGTTTCAGTACTTAGCTTTATTGACCCCCTGCCCCAGATTGTCCTATGGTAATTTTGTTATAAAGTAACAGATTTTGTTACAAAGTATGTCTTGATTTGCCTGAGGTCCATTTTATTTTATATTAAATATTTTTAATGTGGGACACCTTGGGGGCTCAGTTGGTTAAGTGTTTGTCTATGCCTCAAGTCATGATCCCAGGGTTCTGGGATGGAGTCCTGGATGGGGCTCCCAGCTCAGTGGGGAGTTTGCTGCTTCCTCCCTCTCCACCGGTACCCCTGCTTATGCGCTTGTGCACGTGCTCTCTCTCGCTCTCTGTCAATGTTTAGAAGAAAAAAAAAAGTTTCAACATAAGTACAGTTGACTTAGAGTTTCGGGGGTACAACATAGCAATCTGACAATTAGGTACATGACTTAATGCTCTCTATGATGAGTGTGGCTGCTCTGTCGTCTTATAACATTACTGCCGTATTGTTTATACTCTCTGAGAAGGCATTCTAAGACCAAAGAAGGAAGAAGGCCTTCTGTACTGTTTACACAGCTATATTCAGGATAACTTACTGATGGGGGAGGGGGTGGGATGGAGCAGACCAATGATCCCCGAGCTAGGCAGCTGTTCGCTGCCAAGTCCGGACCTTAATCCGCAGCCTGTATAGCGAGGGGCATGGGGGCGTGGTGGTCGGGTCAAGGGTAGTTATCTCAAGCCGTACCAGCTGTGCACCGGATATCTGTACTAGTTCTCTGCAGTGGGGGCTTCTGGGCCTTACTTAAGGGACGGTCAGAATGAGACTGCGCATTCCAGTCAGGACACCCCTTCCCCATGGGGCATGGAGCATGGAGCCCCGAGGCAGGTCACGGCGCGAATACAAACAAGACACGGAGTCGGAGGCCAGAGATGGAGTTTGTGGTGTTAGCACTCCTCTGGCTGTACTTATCAACTCTGACTTGTGACAGGAGGTTTGTAACTCTGGATCCCCTTCCTCTCTTTTGTCCATCCCCCACCCACCTCCCCTCGGGCAGTCACCTTTATCCTTTGCATTTAAGAATCCGTTTGGTTGTTGTTCATTTATTTTCTGGATTCCACATAGAAGTGAAATCATGTATTTCTGATTTGTTTTACTTAGCGTTAATGCCCTCGGGTCCATCTGTGTTGTAAATGGCAAGAAATGCTCTTTTTATGTTTGAGTTCCAGTCCATAGTATCTACCATATCTTTTCCCATTCATCCACTGATGGACCCTTGAGTTTCTCCTGTTGCTTGGCTGTTACAAGTAATGCTGTTATAAACATAGCGGTGCCTATATCTTTTCAAATTAGTGTTTTCATTTTCTTTGAGTGAATACCTAGTAGTGAAACGACTACATCAAAACGGTATGTGTAATTTTTTGAGGAACCTCCATACTGTTCTCCAGTGGGGCTGTACTGGTTTTTGTTCCCACCAACTGTGTACAAGTGTTCCCTTTTCTCCACATCCTCACCGACATCTTCCCTGTATATACCTGCCTCTTTTGTTGTAGATTGACTAGATGAGTAGGAGTTTCTCTGGCCTCTGTTCTCTGTTGCACTAGGTATATATTTTTGTGCTAGTAATACCATACTGCTTTGATTACTGTAGCTTTGTAATATGGTTTGAAATCTGGAAGCACGATATCTCCATCTACTTTCCTGAGATTGCTTTGTTATTCGGTATCTTTTTTGGTTCCATACAAATCTTTAGATTATTTGTTCTGGTTCTGTGAAAAATACCATAGGTATTTTGCTAGGAATTGCATTGAACCTGTAGATTACTTTGGGTAGTATGGACATTTAAACAACATTCTTCCAATTCATGAGAATGGTATATCCATTTATTTGTATCTTCAGTGGTTTTTTTTTTAATGTATTACTGTTCTTAAAGTATAGGTCTATCACCTCCTTGATTAAACTTATTCCTAAATATTGTAATGCAATTATAAATGGGATTTTCTTAGTCTTTCTACTAGTTCATTTTTAGTATATAGAAACACAACAGATTTCTATATATTGATTTTTTTTTTTTTTGGTACCCTGAAAATTTGTGAATGTTTAAAAAAATTTTTTCAGCTTCTTCCCTTCTTAAAAAAATTTAATTTCAATATAGTTAACATAGTGTTATATTAGTTTCAGGTGTACAACATAGTGATCTAACAATTTTATACATTAGTGCTCACCATAAGTATATTCTTAATTCCCTTCACCTATTTCACCCATCTGCTTGCCCACCTCCCCTCTGATAATCATCTGCTTGTTCTCTGTAATTAAGAGTCTATTTTTTGGTTTGTGGGTTTTTTTTTTCTTTGTTAAATTCCACCTAAAGGTGAGGTCGTATGGTATTTGTCTTTCTATGGCTGGACTATATTACTTAGCATTTTACTCTCTAGATATTGTTGCAAATGGCACAACTTCATTCTTGTGGCTGGACAATCTGTTCTCTGTGTATACATAATATATACATACATACACATGCCACATTTTTATCCATTCATCTATCGGACACTTTGGCTGTTTCCATATAAAGTGGCTATTGTAAATCTACTGTAAGCATAGGGGTACATCCTTCCAATTAGACTTTTTGTATTCTTTGGCTCAATACACACTAGTGTGAATACTGGCTCATAGAACTTTCTGCAGAATCTCTATACTGTCTTCCACAGTGGCTGTACCAGCTCATGTTCCCACCAACAGTATGAGAGAATTCCTTTTTCTCCATATTCTCGCCAACACTTGTTTCTTTGATTTTAGCCATTCCGACAGGTATGAGGTGATATCTCATTACAGTTTTGATTTGTACTTTCCTGATGAGTGACATGGAGCATTTTTTCATGATGAGTGATGTGAGTATCTTTTCATGGGTCAGTTGGCCATCTGCATGTTGTCTTAGAAATGCCTGTTCATGTCTTCTGCCCATTTTTCAATTAGGTTATTTCTTTGGTGTTGGGTTCTAGAAGTTCTTTACGTATTTTGAATACTAACCCTTTACTGGATATGTCATTTGCAGATATCTTCTTCCATTCAGCAGGTTGTCTTCTAGTTTCATTGGCTGTTTCCTTCATTGTAGGGAAGCTTTTTATTTTGATGAAGTCCTAGCAGTTTATTTTTGCTTTTGTTTCCCTTGCCTCAGGAGACCTATGTAGACAAATGTATGGCTGATGTCAGAGACCTTAACACCTCTGCTCTCATCTATGGTTTTTATGGCTTTTAGATCTCAAATTTAGGTCTTGAATCCATTTTGAGTTTATTTTTGTGTATGGTGAAAGTAATCTGGTTTTATTCTTTAGCATATAGCTGCCCAGTTTTCCCAGCACCAGGTGTTGAAAAGACTAGACTATCTTTTTTCCCATTGAATAGTCTTTCCTGCTTTGTCAAAGATTAAGTAACCATATAATCATGGCTTTGTTTCTAGACTTTCTATTCTGTTCTGTTGACCCATATGTCTGTTTTTGTGCCAGTACAAGACTTTTTTGTTTACTACATTATAATGTGGAAACTGGCATTGTGCTACACAGTTTTTTCAAGATTGCTTTGGGTATTTGGGATCTCCTGTGGTTCAGTACAAATTTAAGAATTGTTCTAGTTGAGAAAAATGCTGTTGGTATTTTGATAGGGATGGCATTAAATCCGTAGACTGCTTTGGGTACTATAGACATCTTAATATTCTTCCAATCTATGGGCATGGATTATCTTCCTCTTTGTGCCCTCTTCAATTTCTTTCCTCAATGTTTTTTAGTTTTCAGAGTATAGTTCTTAACCTCTTTAGTTACATTTATTCCTAAACATTTTGTTTGGTGTAGTTTTCCATGGCATTATCTTCTTAAGGTTTCTTTGTTTCTTCATTATTAGTGTATAGAAATGCAATGGGTTTCTGTATATTGATTTTTATATCCTGCAACTTTACTGAATTCCTTTATCAGTTCTAGTTTTTTGGTGGAGTCTTTAGGTTTTCTATATAGAGTACTGTCATCTGCAAATAATGTGTTTTACTTCATTCTTACCAATTTGGATGTCTTTTTATTTCTTTAAGTGCTGGGGCTAGGACTTCCAGTATTATGTTAATAAAAGGTGAGAGTGGGCATCCTTGCCTTGTTCCTGACCTTAGGGGAAAAGCTCTGTTTCCCTCTTTGAGTAATGATGATAGCTATGGGTTTTTCATAAAAGGCCTTAGTTATGTTGAAGTGTGTTCCCTCCAAACCTACTTACTTGAGGGTTTTTATCATGAACAGATATTTTACTTTGTCAAATGTTTGTTCTATGCCTATTAAAATGTTCTTATTCTTTTATATTTCATTAATTTGTGACCCAAAATACCCTTATATCCCAGGAATAAATTTCACTTGATCAGACTGAGTGATTTTTTTTTTTAATATATCCTTGGTTTCTTTGTTAATTCTTTTTTTAAAAAAGCTTTTTGTCTGTGTTGAGATAATTGGCTTGCTCACTCTTGTGGGTGTATGTGGTATCTTTATCTAGTTTTGGGATCAGGGAAATGTTGGCCCCGTAGAACGAACTTGGAATTTTCCTTTTTATTTATTTATTTTTGAGAACAGTGTGAGAAGAATAGATATTAACTCTTTTTGCCCCACCCTAACTTTTTAAATGTGAGTTGGGGGAGCACAGGAGGAGGAAAAGGAAAGAGGGCAGCAGGGTGGGGGGAGAGAATCTTAAAGATGAGTTTTTTTTTTTTTTTTAAGACTTTATTTATTTGACAGAGATCACAGTAGCAGAGAGGCAGGCAGAGAGAGAGAGGAGGAAGCAGGCTCCCTGCCAAGCAGAGAGCCCGATGCAGGGCTCGATCCCAGAACCCTGAGATCATGACCTAGAGCTGAAGGCAGAGGCTTAACCCACTGAGCCACCCAGGTGCCCCAAGGGGGGAGAGAATCTTAAGCAGGCTTCATGCCAAATGCAAAG